TAGTTGTTCAATTCCCTCCAAGGAAGTTCAGCAAGGTTGGAAGTAAAACAAGTGACTGTGTTAGTTCTTACTGGAACCCCACGAGTGTCTTTGTGCTCAGAATTTTATTCTTAAGCTGATGATGACAGCACGGGAGCAGCTTTGGCACAGTTGGACTGTTTTGTTTCAGTATAAGAATGCCACTCACATGAAAGGCTATTGTAGAAATGTCACAAATTCCAACAGGTGCATCACAGGCACAACAAAACCCGGCAACGAGTGCAGTAGATGAAAATAGATGCTTACAATTGGGAGTGTAAATCCTCACAGACACGGGTGAGGGATATTATTATTTATTATTATTGTCTTTTGGGTTGGAAGTGTTTAACCACCAGTAGGCAGCATCATAGCTATAAAGCTAGACACCTGAGACGGAGAGATAAAGGATGGCACCTTCACTTTAATCTAATTCCCCTGCGTCATGGCCTGCTATTTTTATCCTCTGGTCTATAAGGTCCCTACTTGAACTACATGCACAAAGAGTGAGTCAGTGGTAGAAAGGCCAAAGGGGAAAATAAATCTCTTTCTTCATACCAAGCATTTGTTTACTTGGAGCTACTGAGGTGTGACCTGTGTGACAAAGGGCTCGGTAACGCCTGCAAGCTATTGCTTTACAGCACGTTTTTCACACAGCTGGTATTTTAAGTGGTTAAGGTCTAGGAATCGTTTTTAGGACATGTTAAATGTAAGCTGTTGGTTTGTTAGTCTAATATTCCTCCTGCATTCCTCCAGAGAACTTGTGTAGAGTGACTTGAAAATAAATGTATAACTATCGAATAATCTCTTGCGTTGTCTTTGCTCGTGCCTCTCGTCCTATTATTTGAGGAATGCAGGAAGGTATTCTCTTCTAAATTCTTGTCGTGCTTTATCTGACATCCTGGGGAAGATGTGGGCTCGTGCCAGCTGTATGGTCAGTGGGCTGGAAAGCTGCTGAGCGAGGGTGTGTGAGGGAGGAGGCTGGAGGAGGTGATGAGTCATCCACAAAATTTCATTCAGACCCTCACTCTAATCTGTAAGACTACCTGACTGTGCAGCTTTACGGCAGCTGTCAGGCTGCTGTCAAATTATGCCTCAAAGCTTCAGTTATGCACTGTTGATACCAGTTTTTGTAAACTGTGTGAAGTTGATGTGGTGAACCACCATATTCTATGTGGGAGGGAGAGCCTGTGTCTCTGGCCTTCAGATGGAGAGGTCTTGGCAGTTTCAGGACTGGCGGGACACTGGTGTAAAGGTCTGGCACTGAGGCATGGTGACTGTGGCTAGAGACGCAGCTTGTCAACTGCTGAAAGAAAAATCAGGAAGGAGGGAAGCAAACGGTCAAACGCTTCTCATGCCAGCATGTTGTTTGGAGAAATGACAGGATAAGATTGTATTACTGCCAAAAACTTGTAAGCCTCTGGCTTATTGTATTAATGAAAGTAAAATGTGTAACAGTTGTAATGTTGGTGGTTGAGGATATGAAACATTCTGCTATTTCGGTAACGCACTAAAAAAGGTTCTCTGGCCATGATGCACGTTATCTTCCCACACACAGTGGTGCCGGGACCAGCGGAGGAGAACTGGAGGAGGAGAGCTGGCAGCCCCCGGATCCAGAGCTTATCCAGAAGTTGGTTACTCAGATTGAGTACTACCTGTCTGATGAAAACTTGGAGCATGATGCCTTCCTGCTTAAACATGTCAGACGTAACAAACTCGGGTTTGTTAGCGTCAAGTTGCTCACCTCCTTCAAAAAGGTAATGGTGGCAAAATTTTGAGGTAGTCTAGAAACACGGCAATGTCTCATTTCAGTACACATCAAACTAAGGTGGGAAAGTACACACGCTCTTCTGCTGCTGGCTAAAACATACACATCACATACTAAATTTTATACTAGAGACTCAGAATTATGTCTTGTATTACTATAGATTAGCCAGTGTGTGTTGCGTTGCACATTGTGATTTATAGTTGACCACAATGAATAAATTAACTTTTAAGTAATGCTGAGAGAAAAGGTAGTCTTAGAATTGAAATATGGCTAAAGATGAAAGTCATTTTTATCTCCTAGTGACAGAAGCTTGTGAGAGCTGAATAACAATGACTGACTGCTTCTAGTGTCAGCATGACTAGCTGTTGCTGTTTGGTGATATTCTCACGTTAATTCACAACAGCTTGTGCTAATTTCAGCTCAATTCAGATGTGTTGGCTTTTTTTTAAGATCCGTTTGCACAGATTAAACCTAGATTGTATTCAAGATCATTCACACATTTATTACCCTCTACTCAATATCTCTGTATAGAATAAACTCTTGACAGATTACATTGGCCAGAAGAAAAATACTGATGTGCATTTTCTAAAAAAATAATAATAATAATTTCTGAATTTGATGAATAAAAATCTTTCCAGGTCAATATTTTTAGACTCAAACAGAATAGTGCTACACTTCAAAATAATTATTTGCCTTGCACTTGGTGCAGGCTCTGTTCTGAAAAAGCAAACTGTCATGACTGGTTGCTTCTTGCAAACAGTTTGAAAAGCAGGTGGGTGGGACTGTCCTGATGACATCCAAAACTTGTACCTGAGAGGATCATATTGACATTGTTTGTTTTTTTGTTTTTTTGTTTTTTTATGTAATAAGTATACACCTGTGCAACAGTACATGTGGTAGACGATAAAGAACATCATACTCTTTACTCTAGTCAGTTTAATTTTTCCTTCGGTGCAGTATCAAGCAATGTACAGTATTTGGGTAGTGACAGCTGTAGACCAGTTTAAGGCATAATGAGATACTTTAACAGAGTACTAGTCACTACACGTTTGGAATGTACTATATGGCAAACTGACTATAGTAAGGGATGAGCACTTGCTGATTTAATCTGATTCAACCATGAGCTCAGAATCACTGAGCTAAAACATAAGTTTGGGCAATATAGTAAAGTCAGAATTTTTGGCTTAAATTAACGGGTATAATTAGAGATTTAGGAAGTATGATTAACAAGAAGCTGTGAAACATTCTTAGTCTATCTTGGTGACAGACTGAAGTTAGCGTGGCCATTTTTACTGAAGCTTAATAACTCATAATTAAAGGTAGTTTCACTGAAATTGTGACCCGATGGTCACTGGGTATATGACTGTAACAAAGATGTTGTTTTTTGTTTTTTTTTCCCCCAGGTGAAACACTTAACTCGTGACTGGAGAACCACTGCTTATGCTCTGAGACACTCAAAGATCCTTGAGCTGAATGATGAGGGGCGTAAGGTGCGACGTAAATCCGCAGTACCAGTCTTTGCCAGCGAGTCACTGCCCAGCCGCATGCTACTATTAAGTGATTTGCAGAGGTGGCCAGAGCTGGCTGCTCTCACTAAGGATAATGGAAGTGCTGAAGGAGGAGCCACTCAACAGGAGCAGCTGATGAAGCTGTTACTGAAAGCATTTGGAACATACGGTGCCATTGCCTCTGTTAGAGTCTTGAAACCTGGAAAGGACCTGCCGGCTGACCTGAAGAGGCTGAGTGGTCGCTACGCTCAGCTGGGCACTGAAGAATGTGCCATTGTGGAGTTTGAGGAGGTGGAGGCTGCTGTTAAAGCCAACGAAGCTGCAGGGAGTGAGAACGGAGGACCCAGTTTACTGGGGTTGAAAGTGGTTCTGATTGGCACCAAGCCGCCTAAAAAGAAGGTACCAAAAGAACGACCTCGTGAGGAAGGAGGGATGCGGAAAAGCCGCTCTCTAAACAGCCGGGTACGAGAGCTTCAGTATCATGGGGACGACTCTGCTTGCAGCTCTTCGGAGACAGAGAGCACCCCTACATCTCCCAGATTGGCTAGAAAATCCCAGTCGTGCAACAAGCTCAGCCCCACCACTGCAGGCATTAGCTTCCAGAATAATCACCTGAGTCCAAGTATGTCCCCACGTAACAGCCCCTGGTCTAGCCCTCGTGCTAGCCCGTGTTCTCAGCGCAAATCTCCTCATTCCCACAAGTCTCCCTTAGCTGTTGAGGGTAGACTGAGCCCTGAGTCTGGACGTCGTTGGGCAGATTACTCCTCAGACAGTAGCCTCACACCTTCAGGGAGCCCGTGGGTTCAGCGGCGGAAGCAGGTGGCATCACAGGAAAGCAGCCCGGTCGGCAGCCCGATGCTGGGTAGAAAGATCCAGAATGCTGATGGCCTGCCGCCAGGAGTAATGAGGCTGCCAAGGGGTCCTGATGGAACTCGTGGCTTTCACTGTGTGGCGATTGAGAGGGGAAAGACTACTGCTACTCAGACTTGATATGTGGAGCCTCATTATGTATTCGCTGACCCCCCAGAAATAAAATGAGATATTGGAAGTTTAAACAGTTCTTGGCCATGTTGCTCAAGCCCCACCCCACATTTCAGACTGTGTAGATATATAATTTTTTTTTTTTTTTTAGTGCATCAGTTTTGAGTCTTTGTTATATTTTTATACAACATTTTGAGTTACCATGGTAACATTAGTGATTTACTAATGGATATTTGAGTGAATGTAAATTAATATTGTTTTGAGAGAGAACTTTGAATACACCACTGACATGAACCATGCCACCTCCATTGTATGAGAGCTTGTTCTACTTGAGGTGACCGGGAGGAAAGGATTCAAAAAAATTTTTTTTTCTTTTACTTTTTTTTTTTTTTAAGTTGGGGGGGGAATTGTCTTGTCCTCTTGTATGTGTTTAAAAAAGGAAAAAAAGATCTTGTTTGTGGATGGCGTATAAATGTGTAAGTCTCACAGGCACATGGACTTGATAGAGATATCGCCATATGCCTTTTCTGTGTCTGTCTAATGTGAGTTCCATTTTTACAAACTACTTAAACTGAGGCCATAATTGCTCCACTGCCACGAAGATTGGAATGTTCAAATTGGACATTATTTTTGTAAATTTGTTTTATTTTTATTTTTGGTACACTTGGTTGGAAAGGTTCTCCTTATCCCTATACATGTTCAGCAGTTAGCTGCTTGATTGTTGATGGTTTTTTTTTTTTTTTTTTTTAAGTTTTACTTCTCCTTGCCATGTTTTCATCAGTCTAAGCCCACAATGAGGTTTGAGGGATTTTCAGGTCGGCCAGAATAGATGCTCTTATGTTCTTGCCTTTACATCTGAGATGGGGTATTTGTACACTGCAATTCCTATTGTACAAATAAATCACTAAATATGCACTCTGCCTGAGTTCTTTTTGTGACATTAGTCGTGTTCATTTGAAATGACCAAAAGTAATCTTATTTTTGACTTCAATATGTGAGCAGGATTAAGTGAGATGTTGTTACTGTGCCCAGACTGTAGAAGCTATTCCAAACTTGGAAAGCAAAATTGGCTCATTCAAGTTGTTGGGTTTTTTGTTTTTTAAATGAATTGCACAGATGGGAGGATGATGACATTTTTTTGGATTATTTGATCCTATGACTTTATCATTGGATGGATATATAACAAACCATCTGAGAAAAGGAAACATGGGGGGGATTATTTTAAAAAAATGCAACATGTACTTACTAGACTACTGATCATTTATTGCATCTTGCTATGGTAATATGCAAACTATCCATTGAATTTAGATTAAGACAACCTTTCATACACATACCATTCATGCACTTAACTCTGTCAGGTCGCACAGCGACTGCAAGTGAACGGCTGTTCTCGAGTCTTGCCACAGCATCTTAATTAGAGGTTTGGATTCTGAAGTGACTATTGGACAGGATCATTGTTTTAGTACATTCCTGTCTAAATTTGGCTCGGTGATTGGTGTTGTCTGCTGGGGAATATCACATCTGTCTTCTTTGTACACTGCAGCATGGTTCCCCCCCCCCGATTTTGTCTGTTTGCTCAGTTTATGTAAACATTCTTTTACAAGCCTTTCAGGGTCTGCTATGGAGAAGCATGTCCATGTTGCTTTCCTTATACATTTACATTTTTCCTGCATTTTACATACAGATTTTATGTATTTGAAAATTGCTAGCCACTCAATGACTACAAAAACAACTTCCTACCACAATAGTGAAATATCAGAACAAAGGAGGCCAAAACCAATTGTTTGTCCTCAATTCAGATATTTCAGAGCTTTGTTTTCCCTTTTGCACAGATAAATCATCTCTGCTCATTTGTATAAAACTAATTACTCCATTGTGATCCCATGTTGTTGCAAAGCCAAATGAAAAGATACAATAGTGGGTATTACTTTTTATGAGCAATGTAATTTGTGCCTTGTCCTCAGGCGGTTTCCAATAGTTCTGAGCAACCATTTAGATATGAAAGAAGGGACCGTGCTGTTGGATGCTCATAGAGCTGTTACGACTTTTAAATTCATGTGGTTGCATCATTCAGTCGATCCACGTTTTTGTTAGAAATCTTATTTCCTGTAGGAGTAAGCACAATGGGAGGACACAAGCTCTTAGGCAGTGTTGGATGCAGAGGTTCAGGGACTATGCTCTAAAATTCAGAGACGCAATGGGACTAAGTGGGGTTGCGTAAGAGAGGGATGAATAAACTTTTGTTCTCTTTGCATGATTAGCAATTCAAAATTAGGAAGTCGTGATACTGTCTGCCTTAAACAGATAATATTTTGGCTCAACTCCATGTAACTGTTAATGTTAGCAGTGAGAATAATGACTGTTTGAGAAAAGTACCACAAGATTAAACTATTATTCTCATATGATGATTCTCTATAATAACCATTAGGGAGAGTTTCAATCTTACACCAAATAGGATAAAGACAGAATAGAAAAACCAACTATCATAGGGGCCATTATTTGTAATTGGGCAGTGTGCAGTTACATATGAATAAAATTATTTAGTAAGGTCATTACGCTATTTATTTAGGACTTGAGAGAATTAGAAGGATGTGGAGAGTACATTTGTTAAAGAATAAAACTTCACAGCTTTTCATATGTATTAAGTATTGTATAACTTTATGTAACACCACTGTGAATTAAGCAGTATACTGCTCAATTACTCCATCATTGCATTGCTAGTTATTTTACATGGTTTTAAAAGCCTATACCATATAGTCATGTAGTCATATTGCACACATTTACACCATTACCTATCTATGCTAAACCCACTGACTAATTGTACCCATCAAGTTCACAGTCCAGATAAATCCATTAATGTGAGTATGTAACAGTACAGCATGATTCAAACTGAGGTAAGGCTGGAGCAGTCAGTAGGAACAAATATTATCAAGAGTATATTATGGATGCAGAGTTGAAAAGCCTCTGGTTGGTGTTTAAATTACAGCTCTCCAAGAAGAAATAATCACTAGACGTCTCCTCCTCAACTCAGAGAAGATGACAAACACTTACATCAGTCTGTGGGAGGGAGCTGTAGTGACTACGAGTGGGTGGAGTAAAAATTGGGGAACTAGAATTAGGGTGGAGTAAATTTACAACGCTCAGCAAAGCAACCAATTGGAAAAGTCGTATCAAAGCCCAAGAACCTGCTAGAAAGGAAATGTTTGGGTTTTTTTTCCCCTTTCTTTCATTTTTTTTTTCAAACCTTGTTATGTAACGTGGTTGCATATATATTTATATCAATTTTAGAATTACAGCCTAATGCATTAACTGAACTAACCATTACCCTCTGGATAAACATTTTAGCTACAGTCCCTTGTTTATGGGCTCTTTAATGATATTTTATTAAAAGGGGAACATTGCCTGGCCACTGCATTACCCTCCTGGTGTCACAAACCTGTGGGTAATGAAGGTTACTGGCACCTTTCACTGTTTAATTATATATATATATATAGATAGATATATAGATATAAAGAAACTGTCCTGTTCAAGTAATTGTAGTTCTGCTGTAATCAACTGAGTATGTCAGTATATTTGTGTGACCCTTCAACTGACAATATTCACCTCTTATTTTTCTTTCAAAATTCTCTGGTGTTACCATACACTATAAATACATTTAAAAAACACACATGCACAGTGAATTGGTTAGCAGTGCTGTGTACATTTGATAAACAAATATTTCACAATTTTATTTTCTTAACTAAAAAACAAAATTGACAGTGCCCTTACAGAGGAAAAAAACCAACTTAAATTGACACATAAAACATATTTACATAATGTGGGTGAATTAAAAGATTTTACAGTGTTAGTACACAGACTTCTGTAAAGGATGATGACGATTTCACAGAAAATTGCCACTTAAATGCAGAGGATATCTCCAACACGGAAATCACAAGGAGCCGAGTTTGCTATTGCAGCACATTTCAAGCGTTTCAATATTTATCACAAACACAATCATACACCGATTGTTATCTGTTCTGCAACTGAAATCCAACTACATGCTGCAGGAAGAGACAGTTAAACTACTTCCTTGTGGTTTACTACCCAATGCTGTTGTGAGACTATAGTAGCTTTCATTTATTAAACATATGAACTTTTATAAAATAAAATGTACCCCTGTTTGGAGAGTGTTCTTACAGTTGTGACCTGCACTGCTGAATGAATGTAGGTGAAGAAATAAAGTACATGCTGAAATAACTGTTCAGGTTGTCCACTGAAATGACAATCAATAAAAAAAACGCCTTAAATCCCTTCTGCACATTCATACTTTCAGGATATAAATATCACCTTTCAATTTGTCCTTTGTGTGGTGACACTATAAAATTCTGCATGGCCATGGTTACCATTTGACCCCTATTGAAGCACTTAACTTGCAACAAGAGAGAAGCAATGCACAAAAGCGTTGCTCCACAGGAAACCACAGGTACCTATCAGCAAGACAGAGCCTAACCACTAGTTAAGTCAAAGAAACTGGACAGAGGTAATTACCGGTTCCTTATACTCCTGCACAGCACCATCTGCGCAATCTCAACAGGACATGGACGCAGAATGATTGGGATCAATCTGATGGTTGTGTGGGTAGAATCATCATTTGTGTGATGAGGAAAACACTTCCTGCTTGTTAGCAGATGGGATGAAGATGTGTTACACAGCGAGCTTAGCCAGCCAAACGTGCTAAGAACACAGCATCTCAGCTCTTCAGTCCTTTGAGAGTGAAGCAGTGTGAAGAGCAAAGCCAGCCATGTCCCCAGGGCTTTGCTTCAGATATAGAGAGAACCATCAACAGGTCCTACATAACCAACCCCTATTAGAAGGACGTCAATCAAAGTCCAAATGCCTAGGCCTCCAAAGCTGAACAGTTTGCCCAGACCCTCTCTCCACTGGCCCAGGTAAAACCGGTCTGCTCCAAAACCACCAAGTGTAATGCTATGGAAGGAACCAGAAAAAAAATAAGTTTCATCACATATCCTAATCAATAACGTGTCTTTACATTTCCATTACTTAAGCTTGTTGTAATGGTTTTAATATTACTGTCAGTTTTACCTGAGTGCTAACGCTGTTGACCATTTGTATCCACCAGTCCAGTTACAAAATAAACGTTTTGGAAAACGTCTTTTACCTAAAAAGAAGTGAAGACATAGTGAATGCTTTCATGCACAAACAAGCAAAATTTAAACAAGCTGACTGAAAATACAACAAACATTACATCAAAAATGTCATGTGGAAATTTAAATAAATCCTCGCCAATCAGCTGATCTTAATGCCAGCTCACATCTGCTGATGAGACCTGAAGTTATTACCCTAAAAGGCAAGTAATGTAGAAAAGAGAAGTGATATGTCAGTGTATGGTTATTAGAAGTGTACGTGATGTACCCTTGTCTGCACGGGTTGAACTGTTGCCCGTCTGTCACCATGTATTTTTGAACTGTATTGACGTAGGTGTGATATTTTATCCTATAAAACCAGAACCCAATGTATTCTTGTCAGAGCAAAACAATCCGTATGCTGACGGTTGGTTGTTCTCCTGTGATAATAAAACTCATCGTTTGATTGCACTTTTCCGGAGCCTCCGTTGTTTGTTGTCTGGTCTAAAGTTGATCGATCTCGCAGCAGTTTCCATCCTGCTGATAATTCGCATATGGGACTATCCTATTTAAGCAGCTTCAGCTTGCATACAAATGCTGCTGTGTCTGCAAGAAGCTTTGCAACCCACCCCAACCCCAGCTTCTTCACTTTATGGTGTTTCTGACTTAAATGTCTGCTGTCACAGATGTTTTATTCTGTGAAGAGGTCCTGCTCTGCTGCTCTACCTGCCTGTGCAGTTTCCACAAATGGCCAAGCAAGCATAAGGGCTCTCTAAACAGAACCCAAACATAGCTCTACTGCAGATGAAATAACAATCATACTTTGACTAACATTGTCCTGACTGAATAGGAGTTTTCCTTTAATAGCAACCATGAATGAAAACCAGTTTAACTTCATGCTGTGGACAAAACAGTTGCTGCTCTAGACTGCATGACTTTAACTGACGACTTTAGAACCTAATTAGGCTTTATAGTGGATCCTTGATCATACATACCTAAGCAATGTACATGATCTAAGACATCACAGGTGGCATTGTAGCGCTTGCGTGGGCAAGAGACTGTCATACAGTTGGTGGAGTTTGTGCAGCGATACTGGGAAGGGTCCAGCTGCCAACAGAACTGACAGGTGATATTGAGAGAAAAATTGGCTTGCTGCTGTCCAGACTCTCCCTGTAAATACAAAGAAGAAAATAAATTTCACTACACAGCAATTCCCAAATTGAAGCCTTACTAACCCTCTTAACAAACAGATAAAGATGGTACAGAATTACTACAGACAAGAATATTTGACAATATTACTCACTATGCAGTGAACGCCTTTTTTGGGTCTACAGGTAAATAAAGTTGGTTTGCCATATGTGCACTTGAGATGGTAATCGCATTGAATGCAATGAGCTGGCAGGCGGTGACACAAACCCCCACTAGGACATTTGGATGTGTCTTCATCTGCAGGAAACACTACAAAAAATCCACCACAAAGTTGCATTATCTATTTTAAGACATTTTCAAGCATGGATAATAAATATTTTGTGCAAAGTAAGCAGGCTTTCATTAAATCTGGCTGCTGGTGGTGGCAACAGGCTGTGACTTGTGATAACAGACTGTGGCGGCAAAATTAAAAATACTCCGCTTTCAAAGAGGGCAGGCCATTAAAGAGTCCTTGAGCAAAGCTATTTAGTCTTGATTGCTACATTATAGCTGCATGCTGGGCAGTAAAGGAAAACTGTTGCTGCTGTTGTTGAAAAGCAATTAACTTAACAAATTCTGGTTGAGATCAAGACTTTACTTAATGATATGCAGGTTAACAAAGAAAAAAAAAACATGCAATACTTAGACAATGGAAATTAATTGTGTCTGAAGTAGGCAGTATTACTCTGATTTTGCACTGTATTTTATTCAGGTTCCCAGATAACATGGACATTCTTAAATATATGTAAAAACCTGCAGTTTACAATCTCATTACATACAGGAAATACAAATTTATAGTGATGCTCAAGCATGGGAAATAACCAACTTCAAATATGTCAAGTCCATCGCAATTGTATTTCTCAAAGCTTGGTTGTTGTTGTTTTTGTTTTTTTTAAATCAGTGCTGCTATGTTACAGCACAACTCAGCACCCCCAAGTCTCGTGCTGTTCCCATCCTGTGTTCAGACTCAGAAATAATAATGTTGTATAGATGCTAAAAAGTGTCTAGGTCTACCCTTTTTTCCCCTTACAAATAAGACTGAATTAGGGAATTGATAAATAATCCTGATGTATGAGCAAAATCAATAGCTGCAGTGCTACAATGAAATCTTACCAATATCTTTAAGAAAATGTTACCTTTAAAATACATTTCAAATAATCCAGCATCAACCTGTGACAGGTGTGCCATGCTTTTTGCCCTAGAACAGCCCTAAGTCTCCAGTTTTTAGCCTTTATCCCTCTAAAGAAAGGGGTTTGAGTTCAATTCATGAGGCATGAACTGAAAGTCCTGGTTAACAGGTTATTAATGGAAAACTGAGCTTGCTTACTGCTTAATAGAGCCGCATTTCTTTGTTGTTAAGTGCTAGAAAAAATATTAAACAGAACGTCCTCTTGATGTACAAGTCACATCTTGTCACATAACTTCTTTATACAAATGAATCCTCAATTTCTATTTGAACCAAGCGAGGACTTGTTTTTCTAGCTTCATTTTGGACTACTATTCAAAAACTCACACTCAAAGATTTAAATTTGGAAACTCTAATATTAACCGTTGTGAATGCGGCCCTTAGTCAATCTGTTTTTTAGTTTACAAACAGTAAACTAAAAACCACACAATATATAAATTCATTATTAATAAAAAAAACCCAGTTAAATAAATAACGTTACAGTCAGTATGTTTAATTTTGATTACTGACTGCAATATTTACCTGAGGCTGCATCGGGGACCACCGGGCTAGTGATGAAAGGTCCATCTCTTGTGTAGTGGGTCTCAACATTAGTTGTGCTCAGGGAACCTGACAACAAAGCGGACAGGTCATATATGGTTGAACAGAAATTAGAAGTCTAAACACGCGTAAGCAGCTAGAGACACTGGTTTTTCTTTTAATAAAACGTGCTAATTATTGCTTTACAATAATTTTAGGAAGCTACTACACAGAAGCTACTCGCTGACATGTTCTGTCATGCTACAAATTAGCATAAACAATGAACTGTTAATTGTCATAGCTTAACTTGCATACGACACAATTAACAAAAGGTGTTTTTGTAAAATCAATTTTGAATCCGTGTTGCTCACTACAGCCAATGTTTTCATTGCTACCTAGCTAAATAAACCAGTGTTATGCTAACTTGCTAGCTAACCACCTCATGCTAATTCAGTTGGGGAAAGGTAACGACCAAAGCGAGATCTATAAGTGTATTATTGTAAGCATACCGTTAACACACTGTAACATAAGGTCCATAAACAATACAGCGATAATTCCGTAGCTTTTAAGGCACCGTCCTCTGTCCGGTCTCCAAATCTGACAGACAGTAGCCATTGTTACCGCAGAGCTAAAGAGAGCTGCATTCACGTCATGTAGGAAACTGGAGTGCTAATAGTCCTCTGATAGTTTCAAGCACGGAGATAGAGCAGTTTTTGTTTTGTTTTCTTTCTTTGTTTTAAATTAACAAAAATCACTAAAATAAAACCCCAAATAAGATCTGAAAATATTTTTCGTTTGAGGTCATTCTAATACAAATTAAAGGTTAGGCAATAGGGAAAAAAAGACTAAGAAGAAGAAGAAGAAGAAGAAGAAGAGCCACTTTAATGTAAAAAAAAAAAAGTAAAAAGCAAAACTATTATCAGGTTCTTTGGTTATTTAGTTAAAGCTGTGAACATGCAATGGAAATCATATTAAATTTCATATATATGGTGTTTGATAGAGGACTGCATTAGTTTAATCCTTTACCCATGACAAAATACATTGTGTATTAATGCCATTCCATAAATGCAGGACATTTTCTGCCAACCCATGAATTTGAAAATCTTGAAAAAGAATTTGAAAAAGGTCAGTCCTCTTTGAACTGTGTCAATGTGTCCAATTAAAGTGACCCTGTTATGTATATTACCAAAAGCAGACAAATTAATTTCAGGGTTTGCTGCCTTTATCTATACATCTACATTTTATTATTCAAAAGTCTCTGGAATTACACTGCTAGCATCCTTTTCTAAGAAAATACAAATACTAGGACCGATTTGCAGTCCTGTTACCAAACGTATAAAACAAACATTAAAAACATAAAATATTATTAAACATCACATTTATATCATAATCTATAAAGAAATCCAGCCATTTTAACTTCAACCTTGTTACTGCATCATACCGATAAAATAAAAATAAGCATTGAAATAGTTACAGTAATCTTCAAAACTAACTGATCTTGTGACCTTAGTGTAAAACTAGAATAAAACTAAAGCTAAACAGAAATGTGCTTTAATAAAAGTTTGAACCTTTCCCATAAAATTGATGCAGCAAAAATCTTTCCCGTCTTCATCTTGCTACCCCTGGTGCATGTTTTAGCAACAACATTTTGGTCCGTTCTGTTTTATAAATTCTTAACGTTTTATGGAAACCACCTTTCTGGCGAGTCTATCACATTGTTCTGCATGCTGTGAGTTGTTAGAAAACAGTGAGGAAAACCATGGGTAAAATAAATTTTACCACCTGACACTGGTATGTTCCTGATTTGTTATTACATGCTGTATGAGGAGCTGGCTCAGTCTTGCTTATTACACAATAACAGCTGGAATTCCCATTATTGCCACCTATTAATCTACAGGCTTCATTCCAAAGCAACAGCATGATCAATAGTTATTACTTTGGAACAAATAAACTGATGAAGCATTAAAAAAGTAAAAGAAAATTAACAAAAATGTGAAGACTGTCTCTACAAAATAAACCTATTGTAGTTTGTCATGATATCAAACTACTTAAAGATTAACATCTTCTGTTGTGAAAATAAAGAAACAAAGCACCCACATTTGGAGAATTTTTTTATTATTATTCCTGAATTTCCAGGCAGATCTTGGTGAAAATAGATTAGTGTAAAATTCACACAACTTTCATGTCTTCACGTCGTTTCCTTAAGTTATTGAGTAACTTTTCTTGAGATACACTTAGATTACCTTGACATAATTTCAAACCCACGCTACCTACAAACAGTTTTCCCCCATTCACTGACGATCACAAGAGCACTGCAGAGTAGTTGTGCAGGCCCAGTCATTACATCCACTTACAGAGTATCAGTTTATTTTTTCTGCACTTTCCCAAAAACCATCTTGTGTCCCTTGTTGCCGTTTCATGTTTGAAGTATTAAAATCCAAGCTGTCTGCCTAGATCAGAACTCCTCTTCTGCATTTTGACAGCGAGACTGTTTGAGCAGGGTCAGGCGTGCCATCACCTCGGACACCGGTAGTTCTCCGTGGACTTTGTTGTCCCTTGTGCGCACATTGACACTGTTAGTCATCTTCTCCTTCTCTCCAACCACTGCCAAGACACAAGACAACAACAACTTTACACGGGCCAAGTTTCACCACACACTCCCACTTTGCATGCAGAATTTGTCAACTGTTGGTGGTTAACCAGCTTGGAGGTCTGTTTGGCTTCTAATCAATCAATTAAGAATGTTTATTTTGATGACTTTGACAGATTTTCGCTTATTCTCTTCCTTCACTACATCCAAAAATCTTCTGTGACACACCTCTTTTCTCCTTCCTGTTAGCTCCATATTCAAACACCCTTTGATAATGTATCCACTATCCCTCCTCTGAGAATGTCCAAATCATCTTAACCTTCAATCTTTAACTTTCTTTCCAAACCGTTCAATTTGAGCTGTTCCTTTGTTGTACACTTCTAATCTTGTCCATCCTGGTCACTCCCACTTGAAATCTTGACTCTACTGCCTCCAGCTTAGCTTCCCATCTTTTTTTTTTTTTTTGGGCCACCATCTCCAAACCACACAAAATGGCAGCTCTCACTAACATCTTGTAAATATATCCTTCCACAAATCACCCCTGACCCTCGACTCCCTCAACTCTGCCAGCACTTTCTTCTTCACTTGTATTATGTATTGTCCATTGCTTTGAATAGTTGACCCCAGATATTTAAACACATCCCCCTTCACTACCTCTACTTTCCTTGCATCTTTACTGTTACAAAGGTCAAACTCCTGCCTGACCTCATTTGATAAAATGTCCATCACCAATAACAACAAGAAGGGCCTCAGAGCTGATCCCTGATGTAATCCCACACTAAATCTTAAACACATCTGTCCTACTCCTACTGCACATCTCACCAAGGTCTCACTGTGCTCATACATGCCCTGCACCTCCCTCACATAAGTCTCTAGCACTTGAACAGTAAAGTTTCAGGCATTTTATTTGAATTCTTATCCATTAAGCAGGATCTGATCATCACAAATTCATTCTGAAGCAAGACTATGACCTCAGGCATTCTGACAAAGAACCACTTTCCCTGACCAGAAGAACAATGAGTCCTGCAGCAGATGGCCTGGCCCCCACAGGGCTCAGAACCAACATTAGTGATTCAGTTTGGGAAAACATGAAGAGACAGAAGACACTGACATAGCCTAAATCCAAAGAACTGTGGAGAATTTAATTTACTTTGTACCGTGTTAAACTATGGACACATCGTTTTCACTCACTACAAATGTACAAGCATCCTCATTTACCCGTTATAGACCACACCTTTGTGCAGTTTGTTACTTAATGATCTAACTTGGGGGTTTTATTTTTCCTCACCAAGAATGAAGTTATACTGTGCCAGCTGAGCATTGCGGATTTTCTTGTTTAGAAGGCAGCTGGAGTCCAGATCAGCATCTGCCATAAAACCAGCTTCTGTAAACTGCTTACACACCTGACATGTAGAAATTGTATTTGTTAATGTTCAGTACATTTCAAGAACTTTCCATACTTATTGTCATTAACTACTGCATTACAAGAAAGAAATAATCAGAGACTAAGGCCACAATGGGGAAGTTATACCTTCTTTGCGTAATCCTCACAGGATGGGTTGACAGGCACTAACATCACCTGACGTGGAGAGAGCCACAGAGGCCTGGTGGAGGGTGAAACATGGGTATTACAACTTTCACATAGTGAACGATAGAAACATGACATGATCTGTTTCCTCAACAAAAAGGAGCTAAAATCATGATCTGAGGAGGTAAAAATCATGCCATAGTTGGAGCTGTTAGTAACAATACAGGTAGAATTTTATAGTAAGCCAAGATGCCTACAATAATTATAAAGACCAAAACTTATTTCTAAATAAAAGAAAGACCAAAGCAGTGGGTCATAATAGCACTGTATGTTAGTAGTTTTAGTAGGCCCATTGTGCTTATTGCCATCTCTATTTTGAACTCTAGTAAAATAGCTTTGCATAACTAAAATTGGGCTTCATGAGAACCCCTTTAGATAATCATTTGCCTGAAATAAGCAGTTTTAGCTCCTTTGCCTGTTTTTTAGACAGCTCTCTCCAGATTGGCCCAATCTCACAAATAGCTGGTTTGAACATCAGGTAGGTGGGGCTTCTGGTCTTACAGCCAGATGTGTGCCTGGGATCACCACAGGACAACTGAATGCTTGAAGACTGAACTGCTGGCTCACCAGGACTGCCATTTAAAATTTTAACCTTGTTTAATATGAGCATCCACTATTGTGACAGAAAGTACCAAAAATAATGGGTGTTGAATACAAAAGTAACCAGAAAAACAACACATTACCATTTCCCTGCATAGTTCTCTGTCAGAATGGCAATCATCCTTTCCACTGAGCCTAAAATGGCACGATGGATAATGACTGGTCTGGATTTGTCATCCCCATCTTTTCTGTAATTGTAGCAAAAGAAACAAAAATAAAAACACTTATGTTAAATATGGTTGAATAAAAACATTTTGATGTATTGTTATATACACACTGACTTAGCAGCTCAAACTGGTTTTAATGTCAAGCACTCTTTTATTATTAACCCTGCAATCATTCTCATACCTTCCCATTGTCTTTCCAGAGACAATACTTTTCTGACACAGACGTCTATACAACTATAAACACCATTTATCCATGCACTGCCTGCTGTCTATTGCTGCACAGCACGTGTATAATTTCCCCCATGGTCCGTGTATTAATTGAAGTTCCCTGTGAGTCTATAGCCTGCCACCTGCACAATGAGTTCAGATTTGCATAGAGCAGCACAGGCTGAGACATCTTATCCAGGAGGGGCTTAATGCGTAATCCTTGGCGCTGTAAAGCACACAGACTCAGCAGTGTGTCAATATTTTTATTAGGTGACTCACCCCACAAAGGTCAGATTGAAGCGGATGGGCAGCTGGAAGTCCAGCTGAATGGTTGCACACTGGTGGTAACGTCCAATAGCATCTTTGATCTTAATGTCAATCTGCAATAACACAGAAAGAATTATACTTCTTTCCAGACCACAGAAGGACATTCAAACTGAGCCAGTGTTTGGAAGGAGTTTAAAAAAAATGAAATAAAAAGATTCATTCAGAACCTTGGGTCCATAAAAAGCACCGTCACCAGGGTTCAGTCTCCATGGCTCTCCAAACTCATTCAGGCTGTTTTCCAATTGCTGTCAAGTATGAGGTAGAGGTTAGCATGTACTTTAAACAATACAAGGCAATTACTGTAAATCACGCCAAGTAGAACTACAGTAAAGTCCATACTTGGGTATAGAGTTCAGTTTTAATTGGTACTCTTATGCAATTTATAGCTGGACACTCGAAGGAATCAAGCCAAGAAAATGAGTAATGTCTTTTTTTGACAACACACCACCCACAGACAATCATGAAACTTCACAGATTTGACACTACTACAGCATAATTACATGGCAGGAGACCGATACTATCATCCAGAGTAGTTCTGTGTCAACATGAGCTTTTATTTGCTTAAATCTCTGCTATCCCTTTAGATTTATAATTCAGTAGTTGGATTTCCTTTTTTCACACGATTAACTACTTAAACTGTGACTCATGACACAGTTTACCTTCTCAGCTTGATTCCACACAGCAATGTCACCCAAATACTTGTCTGGGCGAGTGGAGAGGTGAAGCTGGAATGAGAATCCAAATACATCGTAAACACAGCGGAGGAAGTCCAGACAGCCCTTCATCTCTGACTTGATCTGTTTGAAAAAAATATATATATATACACACACATATGACTCAGCATTTAGGAAATGACTCATAATAAGCAGGTACGTGTTTTTAAAAGATGTTTTTCACATCTTGTTAGAAGCAAAAAACATCCCACAGAAATGTTAAAAACTACTGATGTTGTGACCTGATCCATTGTGCAGAAAATGTGAGCGTCATCTTGCTGGAAACGGCGCACTCTGGTCAGCCCGGTTAGTGCTCCTGACAACTCGTTTCTGTGTAGGACCCCAAAATCTGCCAGCCTCAGCGGAAGCTCTCGCCATGAGCGAGGCCTGTGGCTGAACATCAGACTGCAGGAAAACCAAATTAAATTACTTATATGTATGAAGTAGTGTGCGCGATTTTGATATACAAATTGAGAAGGAAAAAAAAACAAACAAAAAAAACAAAACAAAACAAAAACCAGTATTTCTTTCCTGAGAGCTCTACATTTACCAGTGCCCGGGGCAGTTCATTGGCTTCAGAGCAAATATGTCATCTTCCACAGAGAAGGAGAACATATTTTCGCTGTAGTGCTGCCAGTGGCCAGATGTCTCCCACAGTTTGCTGTTATAAATGTTGGGGGAGGCTACTTCCTGAAAGCCTCTTCTCCAGTACTCATCCTAGAAAAACAACAAACCACATTGGCTAAACACACCATTTAGGCTGCACAGGTACTCAACTGAATCATGACTTCTGGCATGCAACCTTAAGCTGCAACAATGGAAATCACATTGTGTGGGCTGTATTTATCCATTTGTTGCCATTAAGCAAAACATTTAACAGGCTGTTGAGCTGTTTAGCAGCCAACAGTACAAAGACACTAACTGAAAGAATTTCTGTGAATGTGCAAAACTGTGAATACCAAAAAGGAAGTTGCTGAAAAAGAAAATGCTTGCTCACTCAGCTTTCCTAGTATTATTTACCAGAAAATGGAGAATTTCAAAACCTGGAAATAAATGAGTGCATGTACTGAAATACTCATGACACTTCAGTCAAAGTCAGCACTTGTTGTCTATAAATAGGAGCTGGGTTCCCTGCAAAGTAACTTCTGACTATTAAATGTTTTGGTGAGATCTTGGAAAGGGAAATGCATAGCATGCTGGTATAATTTTCTCTGCAGTTTTAACAGATACAAGTGATGTGATAATGATCTTACACCCTGTCTGTGCAATGTATGAGTTTGTCTTGGCATGGCTTGGTTTGGGGGTGTGTGCTACGAAAGTCTTCAAGATGTTAGCATGTCTTTCCAAATACACCACAGAGACAAGTTCCTGTAGAGTCAGTGAACTTGTCTGAGCAGTTGAAGTTATGCTGAAATCTGAAGACTGAACTTTAAAGACCTTTTGAGAACTTCCAAATGTAGAGAATCTGCAGCTTCACAAGTACTATGAATTTTCCTACGTTGACAACATGTGCAGAGAGGACTGGATACAGCTATTATCTTCAACTAAATGTACAACCCCAATTCCAAAATGTTGGGAAGCTGTGTAAAATTTAAACAAAACCCAACTATCTGTATGGTAGTACAATGTAGAAACTGAGAAAACGTACCACTTTCAAAAAAAAAAAAATGTCTCATTTTGAATTTGATGGTATCAACATGCCTCAGTCCCTTGCATACAGAAAAGTCTCCAGACTAACAGACTCAATCTTCTGATATTATGCGCTGCAGATTAGATACTCAAAGTCTTTGCAATTTGTTGTTGGAGAAAATCCATTTTGAAATTGTTTACTTCTGAGGAACTCTGTTGCTCCAAGATTCTCTTACTGTTGTCAGTTAACTAGTTGCAAAATATTCACCCAGCTCTTTTTTTTTGACCACTTTGTTTTCCCACCTTTTGACACTTGTTGCTTAAATTTAAATTGAGCAAATATTTTTCATGAAATAGTAAGGAGGTCTCAATTTAACAATTGGATATGTCGTCGATGATATATTGTGAATACAATACGGGCTTGCAAAAGACTGTATTCTATTTTTATTTGCATTTCACACAGCTTCCCAAAATGTTCAGAATTTAAGAGTTTATGTACCATTCAGTTTGACCTATATTTAGGTAAAAGGGCCTTCATAAGGACCAGGCCACATTTCAGATTATGCACAGGGGTCAGGGTCCAACCAAAGTTTTCTGAAGCTCTGAGGTATTGATGAACAAAGCTTTTCACTTGGTGTTACTGTTAGAGAATTGTGGATAAATATGATTGTCAATGTGCAAGATGATTAGATCGTTAACAGGACGATTAGATCTTTAGCATGAATGCTGACTTCTGTTTCCTACACAGACACACATACACATATCACCGATCACATCACATGCTCATAGACACACACATCAGATGTTCTCTTTTGCAGACACATGACACATGTTCACATGTGAGTGTTTTATCCGTTGCATGATTAATGAGATGTTTGTGTGACCACAGAGTTAATAAAAGGCTGCAGGGGAGGCTGGCTCTTTGGAGTTGTCTGGGACCAGGTGAGGAGCTTGCAGCTCCAAGACCCTGGTCCAATCTGCTCCCCTTGCAAGTTAAAATGGATCGAGCTCTGTCTTGCTTTGTTCATGGGAATAAGTCTCTAAACCAGTGGGGCCTGCGAAGTGCAGACCTAACAGTTACGCTACTTATTTTTGAGCTTCTGTGATTGGAAAAGTCACAGCGAGTGGTCTGCAAGCCATTGAGAAGGCAATCACGATTGCTACTCTGAAAATGCAAAACACAGTCGTCATGGACTGTAAAATGATTGTAAGGGTTTCTGTGGTTCAGTAAAGTCCTTCCAACCAAAACTTTACTGAGACAAACGATCCTAAAAGTCGACTCAGTGTAATATGAAAACAATGTATATATGAATACTCTGGATCTGAGGCATACAATTATACACAAACAGTAATGATCCAAGCATTGACCTTAAACACTGCTTCACATCTACTGAGCTTGTAATACTGATATTCAGTTAATATTATCTGAATGTTCCTATAACATTTTCTCAAAATGATAAAGATATTGGAGATAAAAATAAGCATTTAGCTGTATCTCCTACCCTGATGAATTCTGTCAGTGTGTGGTAGATGTAAGCTCCCCGTGGCATGAAGAAACAACTGCCTGGGCTGAGATCATGGAAGAAGAAGAGCTCTTGGTCCTGTGAAGCAGACAATTATAAAAATGATTTCATATCATCATTATCTGCAGGTACAGCCAGGAATAAACTCCATGCACAGCAGACCATCTGTCAGTGAATGACTGCCCACAACCTAACAAGAGAACAGAATAAACTTTTATCAAAAAGACTTAAGACACAATTTAATCACTATGGTAAGCACTGTTAAATCCAATTGAATAAATATTGTATTAATGACAATAAACTTTGCACCTTCCTTTGAAAAGAGGCTGTGAGATTTCAGTTTCTTGGCACTTACTTCTAGAAAGACCCCAATTACAGACCAATTTGAAATTCAAATCATGCAAGGGATTAAAGGAATGGTTTCTTATGAAAAAACACACACAGATACACACCCTCATCTCTATGTGTGCCAAAACATATTTGAAGAGTTTTGTTAAATCAACACATTAAGACCAGCTACTGCATTACAAGAATAGACTGTAGTAAGAGATTTAAAATGTACTGGGTCCATGCTGAACTATAAAAATTAAAAAAGAAAAGGGGGGGGGGGTGTCAAATTAGAAAAATACCACTGAACACCGTCTTTAAACACAACATGTCACTTTTGCCGCCTCCCTCCAACTGGCTTTGACAGCCTTATAGCTTGTGTTTAATATGGAAACTGCGTTGTAATAAGTGCTGATTGAGGTGTTGCCGTCTGTGTCTCCCATGCTGGGTAACCAGCTGGGGCGCTCTGATGACTCACTCACACTTGTTCTGAATGTGCCAATGTGAGGAAACACAGTGCCCTCAGCTGGTACATAGCAGCAACAGGCGATCTGGTTTTCAAGTGAGAAACCTCACATTCGATCAGTCTTGTATGGCACTGAAAATATAGAGAAGCTGAGAAATCGGTTTGGCAATGAGTTCTGCTTGCTGGATTACATAACAAGAGAACTCCTCTTCAACCTCTCAAATAAATGCATTTCATTTCCCATTTCTTGTGTGCATGTTCACAGTTAATGCTTGTAGTGTTGGTCCAGGTTTGTTTCAGTGTTTTGACACGTCTATAGAACCACCGAAACAAACTAGTGAAGAAAAACTTCTACAAAAACCTGAAAGTGGATCTGTTTGCCATCACATTACATAATTACAAATTAAATTGCACTTAGTACTGGGTTTAGGATTTGGTTTTAGGCCTGAGTAAACTAGGCATGCTAAAACACTACTGCCTACAATGACTCACTTTTCCAATCTTGCGATGGTCTCTGTTCTTGGCCTCCTCCTGAAAACGTTCCCATTCCTTCAACATCTTTGAGTCTGGGAAGGATATCCCATAGAGCCTCTGCAGAGTCTCCATGTCAGAGCGTCCCTCCCAGTAGGTGGAAGAGTTCTGATGACAGAATTAAAAATGCTTTTTGACTCAGTTTGTTAGGTGCTTAAGCCTATGACAACATTTTGAAAAATCCCTACAGTTTGCATACAAGTAATCCCTCCAAATCTTTGGTGTCAGACAGGATTTTTTCCTACTTTACACCTAAATGGTGCATTCCATATTCCCAGTTGGAATTTGATTCTAAAGCGCCCTCTCAAGTCCAATTTCCTACTCAGAAAGTCAGAGCAGACTCAGCAGCCCAGAGCTATCAAGCCAAGATGGCAGGACTGACCATAAAGGGTAGTAAAACTTAATCTATACCGTCACTGTTATTTATTTGCGACTTACCCAGAGCATTGATCGGGTTCCATCTACGAATGTGCAGCAGCATTGTGCTGCATTGCTCTACCTTACTAAGAACCAAAACAAATCTTGATTTTCCTCGCTTTTTTCTGGAATCCGCTAACAAGTTCTGACATCCCAGTTCCAAGGTATCTGGAACACAGCACCAGTGTGATGCTGTAGAGGGTGTATTCTTGCTATAGTCATCTTGGGCATAAAGATTTTGCTGTTAAAACCTTCTGTTCTTTACAAAACTGTGAATTAGATGAAAACAGGCTTGAAGGGAAAGGCTTGGTTGATCTCAGACAATCTCAGATCTTATTTTTAACTGTGAAGCATGCAAAGATCTCTACTAGAGTCCAAGAACAAAAATATGGATTTGGAAATACCTTGTAGATCTTCATGGCCTTGATCTTGCCTGTATGTCTGACATGTGGACCTCTGCACAGGTCAATCAAGGGTCCACATCTATCAAAGAATTGTGACTTACAACAGTTAGCATTACAAGAAAATAAAACTTTAAAAATAATAACAGTAACACAGTGGACATTTCAAAAACACAGCAGTTCAAGTTAAAAATAAACATCTTACCTATAGACTGTAGTAGTTGGGGTGGTGACTTTCTCATTGAGAATGCGGCATTTAAATTTGTTGTACTGGAAGATGGAAACGGTTGGGGTTAGTAAGATATACAAGTCTAAGCAGAAGCAGAAGACACCAGTCTTACCTCTTTCACTCACCTTAAACATTTTTAGTAGTGTCTCCTTGCTGACTTCAAGTCTCTCAAAGGGCTGTTTTTCCTTCACCACAGTTTTACATAAAGCTTCCAGGTCCCCAAACTCCATGCTGGACACACCCCTGGAAACAGCAAACATATTAAAAAGGACTCTAGGGAAAGGGACAGCCAACTGGCACAGTAATCTGGATGACATGTGGGTCAAAATCAAAACCCAAGAAGTAGAAACCATCACAGCTCACATCAAGTCAGTAGATGGGAAAATTAAGTTCATCTGGGAAGATACAAAGGACTCCTCGATGTGCACATTGAGGAGAATGCATTGAGGAGTGCAGCATTGATGTTTACCAGAAACCCACCTCTGGAACATAAACTTTGAGTAATCAGGACCCTGCAACACCAGACAACAACATTGTCATCCATTATGTAGCAGGTTTATCAGACAGGCTCATGAGAATCTTCTCCAAGCACAACATCCCAGTGTACTTCAGACACAGCCACACACTCAGACAAAAACAGGTTCATCCCAAGGACAAAACACCCCAACACATACTAAACAACATAGTGTATATGCTGTGCAGTGCAGCAAGGAGTGCTCAGACCTCTACATTGGAGAAACCAAACAGCCACTCTATAAACCCATGGCACAACAAGAAGAGCCACCTCAACAGGACAAGACTCAGCTGTACATCTGCATCTGAAGGATAAAGATCACTCCTTTGAGGATGCCAATGTTTTCATTTTGGACAAAGACAGATTGTGTAAAAGAGGAGTGAAAGAAGCCATCTATGTCCACTGTGAACAACCATCCTTGAACAGAGGGGGTGGCTTATGACACCAACCGTCTGCAACCTATAATCCAGTTTTGAGATCCCTTCCCAGACGCCCACTCACATCTTGTGTCAATTGATCTCAATAAGTCACATAATAGGGTGAGGCAAGGTCTCGCAGTGGTTTCACCTGCAACCTCTGCTGATAATGACCCACACCTTGGCTCATGTGATTAGCCACATGATCAATACTCGGCCAACAATCCTCTTAAGGGACAACTCCCAATAGTGCTTAAAATCTGGAACTCTCCACCAACTGGTCTTAGAACTGAAGCAGCTTCTCAGGTGAGAGGTGAAACATTTTCAAGAAACTCAAAGAAGTCTAGCCGCTTTTCATTTCAAGCTCCTTAGATTAAGGGACTCAAGGTTAGTCAAGTCTGACATGAGGATGCTGTGGACCACCAGTCTATAATAAAAATCTCAAATGCATACACATGAATAATGATGATTATTGGCATGATTAATGCCAAAATGCCATACCAGAACATTCAAACTCAAATACAAAAAAAAATAAAAAAATAAAAAAAAAGTATGGAAATATTGAGCTATTAATGGCAATACTTGCTCACTTTTGTCCATCCAGGAACATGTCGTAGTAGAAACCGTTTTCTATGGGAGGTCCATAACATAAACAACCCCCATAAAAGCGCTCCATTGCCTCCCCCAGGATGTGAGCACTGGAATGCCAATACACCTAGGGATTAAATAACAAAAAAAAAAAAAGTAGTTACAGTAACTCAGTGTATGTTTATGGATGCCCTCATAAGTTTGTTTTGTACAATATTGAAAATATTTAAGAATAAAATTCATTGAATGATCTCAGAAACTGATTTGCAGTGCATTTATGTTGTGTCCCACCAAATTCTGTATTTACAAACAATATTAAAAAATTATTGACAACTTGAGCTTCTGGTTTAAGAGTACTCACAGCCTGAGCGTCCTCATTGTCAAAGCGCAAGATCTCAAGTGAGCAGTCCTGCTCAAGAGGCCTATCCAGATCCCACAGTTCCCCATTTACCCGAGAAATCACAGCATTGTCAGCAAGACCCTGGCTGAAAGACAAATGCAAATCTGTGTCAGCGGTTTCTCTCGTTATGATAAAGCATGAGAATTAAGAATATTTGCAGAAAAAAAAACATAAAGAACACAGAGGCAACATTCTCTGTTGTTATTATTAGTAAATACCCACATTAAGTAACACAATTATTAGCTGATTATTAGTCATGAAATCAGTGGTACTAACCTGATATTACAGGCCAGCTGATATGGAGTAGTGACCCAAGCTTTGCCCTCCACCTTTCTCCCATCTGGGAGCTCCACTGTAATGGGCTTACTGTCTGCAGCTTTTTTTGACTGCAGGGCATCGCTCTCTCTCTTTAGTTCCTCATAAAGACTGAGACGCTCTGCAATGTATTCAGGCCAGGGACTCAGCTGAAGCAGATAAAAAATAAAATAAAAACAATCGAAGTCAAGAAATTGTCCACACTTTGGTATCAGCGTTTGGATGAACAGGATAACTTGCAGGTCCTGTGATCAGCACCTCTTTCATGCCTCCATCTCCTTGCACCTTGTCGTGTTTCTTCTCTTTCTTGTTCCCATCACCTGTTTTTGTACTCACAGTTGCCACCTGTTAATCAGAAAAGAGTGTGCTTCTTCAAACCTGCAATGTCCTCTTATCACGATTTCTGCCAAGCCACATTATCAGCCTATTCACCGCTTAAAGAGTGCAAACACATGGGCTTGACTAGGGTTGCTATTTCTGGAAATGGGGTAGCATAGCTTGCCAATTCACGGGACAGAGGCCCGCTACTCATAACGATATAGGACTACTACGGCTCACAGCTTACTCATATTACAAAAAAACCGATTTAAACTACACCGGTCTGTATAATTACCTTGTTATTGTCAGCTCGGTTGTTTGTCTGCGGAGGTTTGCTGGTAATTTTCTGCGGAGCTTTGTCACACTTGGCTCCTTGTTGCCTCTTGCCCCGCGCCTCCTCCAGCTCCAACTCCGCCTGAAGACCCCGCCGGAGGTGCAGCAGCCGATACCTGAGCTTCTCATTCTCCGTCCGCAGGTTCTCCAGCTCCGGAGAGACCACCGCGAGACCGGCGGCGTCTAGACCTTGACCCAGTCCATCCCGGAGCGTGGATATTTCCCTGGTGAGGAGCAAAATTTGCTCCTCCTGAGCGGCCAAACGTGCAGCCAAGCACTCCGCCATCTTTAAATGACCACCAATGACAGCTGACTTCCGCTGAGCTTTTATAGAAAATAAAAGCCTCGACTCCAAATTGTGGTAAAAGGACAAACCAAAAAAATTATCTATCTCTAACCAAATTAGATTTGATATAGAGTTTTACATGTTTTACATTAATACTAGGTTTAAAAAAAGGATTTATTCCGTTTTAAGCAGATCTTTTAACTGATCTCCTCGAGAAGTGAGTAATGTTTTTGTGGGTGTTACAATCCTAATTTCCTAGTATACTAAACCGCTATCAAAAACGACTTTTTCATAGAAAGCCATCGCTCCCTTGACTTGCAGTAACGGAGTATCAACACTAGGAGGCAGTATCATATTTTTAATACGTGTTGACGTCAGCTGCTGTACAGCATGAGACAGTCTAACAGCAGGGATGTAAACAGTACTTTCCTCATTCATATGCTGCGGCTGGCCTACAGGTTCGTGACAGATATTTCCTGGTCCATTTGTTATTTTTGTGTGAACCAGGAAACCTGTATATACTCTGTGTTTAATCCGGGCATTGGTTTACTTCGAGTACATCTAGTGGCTGTGTACATACTAGCATAATGTAAAAGTGCTAAGTTAGCTTGCTAGAACTTCTGAAGCTAACAGGGCAAACAGGAATGTGTGCACTTTTAAAGAAAAAAAACTGTTTACGGTTCTTTTGTGTATTAAGATGATAAATACTTGCTAGACGAGCATTCATTAGCCTGTCTGAAATTCGGCATGAATTCAGGATACAACAACCGAAAGTAAACTGAAGCTATAGTCTTCACCAAACTATTGATTTGCCTGCCTGGATAGAGAAGAATAAGTGACGCCAACTCAATAAAATGTTTATACTATAAACATGGATTTGATAGAATATTTGAAATACGCTTTATTGCAATAGTTTTGAAGCGATATGACTGTGGTCAGACTGACGACTTTCCCTTCCTTCTCTTCGTGCTGGTTAAAATTAGGTATTTGGTATTAACAGGAAGCATATCGATCTTAAATTCCAGCTTAGATCTGTGTGGGAGAATCTCATGCTGGAGGCAAGATGGCATCAACTTCCAGCTTTGCTCCTCCAAAACTGTCAGACTTTATTCTCACAGAGCGGCTGGGCAGTGGTACATATGCTACAGTCTACAAAGCCTACAGGAAGGTGAGTTAATCTGTGATATGTAAATGTGGGTATTATTAGTCATTTTGATTATATACCACACATTTTACATTCCTAATTCTTTCTGCATTTCAGGCTCACACAGAGTATGTTATGCACTATGCATAATAATGTCAAAAAGAAAGTTTAGACAGGTGTCCATGCAACCCTGTGCATTTGATTAATTGATCATCTGCAAGTGTGACAACTTCTAAAAAAGCTGAGGTTTTTTAGAAGTGGTCACCTCAACTCTAACTAAATTTCCTGAACTCCGAGTCCTAGCCTAACGGAGGCCTAGCCTAACTCCAAAAGCCTCAGCTAGCATGTTAAATGTTCAAGTTCATGATGGTAAAGTTAGAAAAAGGCTGAATAATATGTCTTGCTAAGAGGGGTTATCAGGAGAAAGGTTCTTATCTCTCAAATCAACATGGCACATAACAAATCAAAAGACTTCTGAAACAATGTCCTTTGGACAGACAAAGCCATAGTGGAGATGTTTGGCTATAATGTACAGCCCCTACTTAGCAAAAAACACAGCATATCAACATCATTATAACATCACTGATAGCTAAAGCATTGCCTTAATTTGGTCACGAATGGTTGAAAAAGAAAAGAAGCAAGATTTTGAAATGGTCCAGTTAATGTCCAGAGCTCAACCCGATTTAAAAGCGTGGCAAGACCTTAAGAGAGCTGAATATAAATTAATTTCTACAAACTTCAGTTAACTAAAACTACACTGTAAAGGAGAGTGGGCCAAAATTCTTCCATAATGTTGTGAGAAACTGTAGTCATGCAGAAAACGGTCACAAGTCATTGCTGCTGAAGTTGGTTCTGTGGACTTTTTAGTCATGGAGCGTACTTGATTTCTCAAATGACTATGCAGTCCTGTTAAAACCTTTTTTTGTTTGTTTGTTTTGCAGGGGAACAGTCGAGAGGTGGTTGCAGTTAAAGTAGTTGGAAAGAAGACTCTTAACAAGGCTTCCACAGAAAATCTGCTCACAGAGATTGAAATCCTAAAGACTGTGCGCCATCCTCATATAGTGCAGCTGAAAGACTTCCAGGTAAGCTCATATATGTGTTTTAGTATAGCTGGTACTTATGCAAGGTTTTTTTTTTGATGAGCAGAGTTTTGTGTCCCATATTATCTGTCTGGCTTTTTAATAACTGTTCATCTAGTTCAGGAATATAAGGGCGGGAGCTTCTCCCAGCTGTTGTAGGGTGAGAAGCAGGATACACCCTGGACCAGTTGCAGCAATCTCCCAAAATAAAAAAAAAAAAATACTGTAAATAATATTTGTGGTACTTAAAAAAATCAATAAAATAGGAAAAAGGAACAGAAAGGCACTAGACCCATATTATTATATAAACTTTTCCCAGATTGAATAATAAATTGTTTTAAAATATTTTGTTATTTACAATATTGTGTTTACTATATTTGCACCTTTTTCTACATTAATTGTTTGGATATCACTTTCTATATAAATTTTTTATATAATTTCTCTCCTGTTTATATGTTTTCTTCCTGTTTTCTTCTTTTTTAGCTGATATTTATGTTTTTAAAACATTAAGAAAGATATTAACGAAATAAATGTGAAATAAAACTAATACTCTTGCTTCGACTCTGTCCCTCAGTGTCTGACCTTTTCTTTTTCATCAGTGGGATGCTGAAAATATTTACTTGATTCTTGAATGGTGTTCTGGTGGCGATCTCTCCTGCTTCATTCGCAGTCGCAGGATTTTACCTGAGAGTGTGACTCGGCGCTTCCTGCAGCAGATTGGTGGGTGATTTCCATTTCAAACAATATTGCTGAAGTTTTATGTGAATGTTTTTGATGAGAGACTTGTTTGAAAGCAATCAGCATGAAGCAGGTTTTTACATACCCGTTTTAGGAAGTCTGGAAATTAAATCCAATTCGAAAACTTTTTCAGCTGTGCATACTTGTTTGTGGAATAAAATTGCATTCATATTCTATCCTGAGCTATTACATCTGTCCACAAAAACAGCTTGTGCCCTCCAGTTTCTTCATGAGCGAAATATCTCACACCTGGATTTGAAACCCCAGAATATTCTGCTCAGCGGCTCTATCCTGAAACTAGCAGGTGATCACATGCACTCACTAAACAACAAGCACGGGAAGCTAATGTTTTACTGTAAACATGCCAACTGGTAGAGAATAAACAGATAGTTTCAGATGTAATTTACTTCCTAATTTGCCCACAGATTTTGGTTTTGCACAATACATGTCCCCATGGGACGAGCAGAGTGTCCTGAGAGGTTCTCCTCTCTACATGGCTCCTGAGATGGTGTGCCGTCGGCAGTATGACTCCAGGGTGGATCTGTGGTCTGTAGGAGTTATTCTCTATGGCAAGTACTGCGTGTTCACATATTTTATCTCTTGTGAATGTGAAATGCCATCAACATGAAGAATACTTTGCTTCATTTGTCACTTGTAATGCATTTGTGTTAGACATCTTGGCAACTAATGTGGTTCTGGGTACACAGAATCTGGTGTAATCTGTCCTGTGCCATGTTGTGTGTCTCACTTCTGATAGTAATTTATAATATCTTGACACCACTCCTTTTCCAGCAATAAAAGGCTAATCAGCTGACTGACCCTGCAGGCTTGAAAGAGCTCACTCAGTAGGCTAAAAGTAGAATTGAACTATTAATCATCAAGTGACAGAGTGGTGAAGAGCCCTTTATGGGTTTTTAGTGCAGTAATTGTGCAATAATATTGTAATAGCACACAGCAGTAACGTGTGCTATCGGTGTGACACTGTACAGTGCAAAATGAAAAGAATATTTTATATTATGTGCTTTTTAGAAAAGCTAAGTAGAATAAATTTAATTTTTCATTTGCACAGAATTTTTCAATAAAATCCAACATTCAAGTTGTTTGTTTTAATATCTATCTGTCTATCTGTCTGTCTATCTGTGTATCTGTGTGCAAGAGTTTATTAAGATTGCTCAGTTGAATCACTTTCTTTATTTTTATTATTATGAAGTACTCAGTAATTATTGCATAATTATTCTTTTGTAATAATCTACTGCCCATTGTTTTTGTGCACACAGAGGCATTGTTTGGCAGAGCACCATTTGCATCAAAGTCATATGCTGAATTAGAGGAGAAGATCAGGAGCAACCAACCTATTGAAGTAAGTTATGAGCAATCTGGTGAATGTGTTAGAAAAACTTGCACTGGTTATGAGCAAATGTGCAAATGACAATGACTATTCCAACTATGGATGTAGAAATCCTGCTGAATGCTATAGTTATGTTTCTTATGTTTATAAAAATTGCTTTTTGTTACATTTGTACAGTATCTCCATAGTATATTGGGGTTGATCAGGTTTTCCAGATTGATATGTATCATTACATCTTCTTCAAATTAGATAGCATAGTAATAATTTCCTAACAGTAAATCTGAAATATGCTGTAGGTGGCCTGTGTAGAAAACACAACAGTTGCAAGTATTTTTCTCCCATGTACTGGATTTAACCACTAGATGGCAAACTATTCCACTCAAGAGGAACCAGCAATTGAAGCTCTACTGAAACATGACTGGTCCTCTTAAATCACCTACAACATTCAAGACAATCTGACATGTCTCTTCTAGGAAGCTGAAGAACATGACCTTTTAAATGATGAGAAATAATAAAAGATACTAGATGAATTTGAGTGAAATAAACATCAAGACAGCAGCATAAGCTGTTTGTTTATTCCCTAAATAAATGTTATCCTCTCTTAGCTTCATTCCATACTTTTACTCTTCTCATTTGTCCTCTCCTGCAGTGATTCTGTGGTCTACTCCAGAATTTGACAAATACTGATTTAAGAGGGCAGTCTGGGACTGAAAACT